AGGTGTTGAATGAAGGTCTGCTGGATTCAATTTTACCATATATTGCACCAAACGCGTTTTCCATGTCCAATTTTAATGAAGTGATCGGAAAAACTTTGTTGCAAGCAGGAAATTCAACCAAGAGAGACACCAGCAAAAGAAATACCAATGGTACATTTTTTGTAAAAAGTATACCAGTTTTGATTTTTTTTTTGCTGCATGGTGCGGAATTTATATAAGGTGCCTATTTTAGCTGCAGGTGATAACCAGTCAAATCATCAAATATCTGTTACCAGCAATATATGCAAACAACAACATAGTGTAAGAAGGAAATCCTTAGCCAATTCAAATGCTGCTGGTGATGCTTCTAGCGCAAGCGATGACTTTGACAAAGAGACTGTAGTGATCCATGTCTGCGATGAAAGTAAAAATACTACAAGAGATTTTAGATGTTCTCAGAAATTGCTTGTGCAACAAATGGGCTATTTTGCAGATGTTCAAGCAGGTAAAATTGAATACTACCTAAAATAAAATTAAACAAATAATCGTTATTATTTAGTTTTACTGTTTACAATTTAGGTCAAAAATTGGAAGATATGGATATATCGGTTCACTGTGATATTAGCATTTTTGACTGGTTAATGCGATGGGTTAAACGAGACCAAAATAATATGGATGATTGGCCAGTATTAGATGCAGCAAATGTTACACCAATTTTAGTATCTGCTACTTTTTTACGAATGCAACCGTTAGTACTTGATTGTCTGATGTATTGTCACGGTAATCTATCGGAAGTTATTAGAGCAAGCACTGGTACTATGACTTGTCTCAATGATACAATAATTACAAGGCTGGCGGCCATGTACACCAACATGGAGTTGGAAGCAGTAAGTATAATAATATAATATAGATAATTAACAAGAAAATTAATACAATGATCATTTTTGTCACTTTTAATGTGTATGATATAATTATATTTTAGGTAAGGGATAAAAGAGATCGAATACATTCACGTCTATTCTGCAGACTTATATGCAGTTTAGCTGAACCTGATCCGGAAACTCTAAGGGGACACTATGCAAGTTTACGTTCTTTGTTTAAGTGCATCAGATGTGGACAATTAGTATCCAGAGCGTACGCTCATCGTATACCGTGCACCAGTAATGTTCCTGGTTCATTACGCTTGAACAAGTAATATTTCTTCTTATGATTATAAGTAATAATAATAATAAATGGTAGTCTGCCCGAAGGCAGGTCCATGGTGTGAGAGCCACCACAAACAAATGATTCCTTTACTTTTTATCCTATTACCACTATTCCCCCTCTCCATTTTTTTTATTTCATTTATTTTCCTTTCCGAACTTCTGCTTCCATGCATTTTGATCCTGTGCTTCGGCGTAAGTCGTCAATCGTCTGCATTCTTCTTCTTTCCTCGACGACGTCGTGCAGGAGGCACTCTTTTTGCAAAAAGAGGTCCGATACAGTTTCCTTTTCTTCTCAGAATTGTGCTCAGTAGAGTCCTTTCTTCGCCCACTCTTCTCAGGACTTCTTCATTTGTAATTTTTTCTGTCCACTTTATTTTCTTCATTCGCCTCCAACACCACATTTCAAAACTCTCAAGGTAGTTCTTATCGGCCTTTCTTAGAGCAATGTCTCCGATCCCTACAGAACTATGCTCCAGACTTTATTGGTCTCTTCCGCAAGTCGGGACTCTGTTTGCTCCTCAGTTTGCCATAGCATTCTCTTCTTCGTAAATGCAGTCTTGGCGCTTGCGATCCTGATTATTATAAGTAATACTATATTAATAAATATTTAATTTCAGATACAAAAGTCAATTTATTATCTATTCTTACAGATTTGGTGATTTAGTATCGTCACACCAACGTGATCCATCTTGGACGTTGTCCGACCATATAATGCAACTACACAAACATCTCCGTGCTTGGCGTCGCGTTTATTGGCGCCTTTGGGGCGATTGTCATTATTTAGATTGTTCGACATGTTTGGTTCCTTTCCCTGTATCTCGTTTTGGATGGTGCCGAGCTCGTCATCCTAGAGATGGTATCAAATGGTATCCAAGTTCCCAAACAGTTGTGACAAATTCAGGAGATGCCGGAGAGAAGATGGGAGCATCAGGCGGAACTTTAGGCGCTACTGGGAGCGTGGGCAGGCACGAATGTTGCGGAAATATTGCGTTCAGATGCGAAGCTTATAAGTGGCCGTCGGTAAGTTTTAGAAATATATTATATTCAATATTTCCTTTAATGTGATAAAAATTTTGCTATGTAAATCAAACTTTATAAATATTTTTATAGAGCTGTGAATACCGTGATCATATGGCCGAAACTAATGATGAACGAGAAAATGCTATATTGCAACTGTACTTAAATATGTCTCAAGTTATTCAAGAAGAACCGCCGGAAATAACTCCTAAAGAAGAGGTGATTTTTTTTTCAAATTGAATGTGTATCTTTATCTTGGGTTTGTTTTTAACACATTGTTGTATAAATAACGAATTGGAATAAATGATATGATTTTTCAGGCTAAATGGTGGTCAAAACTTACTATAGTGCCGGCACGAGCGAAAAGCTTGATCCCTATGTTCCAAGATACTGGTAAGAAAATCATTTTGATTTTTTTTTATTTAATGCATATTTGGTATATTGATTTTCATTATTTGTTGTAGATTTATTGCGACAGCAAAAGCGTACAGCTTTTTTAAAAAGTCAAATGTCTCGGTAAGTTTTAAAATATTTTTATTGCATCCAAGCATTTTTTCTTTAAAACAATTTAAAAATATGTTTACTTAAGTGGCAATTTACCTTAAGGCTTAATCAATATATTGATTTATTATAATAAATCAGCATATATTGATTTATGACTGATTTGCAAGTAACCTTTGCTCTAGAGCTTATAATGTGAAAAACTATTGCAGAATATTAAATTTTTTCAAAATAAAATAATTAAACTTTCCAATTGCTTATATGAAAGCACTGCATTTTCCAATGAGCATAGTTCAATTAATTAATTGTAATGAATTTTTATTATTTTATAAAAGTGATATCAATTCTGAATCAATATCAAGAAGACACATGACAATGCAGCGCAGTAATACGATACAGATGCCTTCTTCGGATAGTGATACAGATTGCGATGTTATGGATTTTAACGAAGTTTTAAGCAGTTCAGACATCGATTTTGACTTTGATGACACAGAAGAAGGCGAATCCGAAGAAAATAATCGTAAAAAAAGACCATCTACTTTTAAACGTCGCGGTAAGGCTGCCTACAAGAAAACAGTCAGGTGAGTTGATGACAATAATATATTATTGTCTAATAGTATAATAAAAATTACAGTACTAGACTTTGGTATTCATAAATATGGCTTTTGATAATTTACAATTAAACATAAGTATATGTCCGGTTTATTATTTCAATATATTGTTCATAAATAAAGAAATTATAAATATACTGTAAACGTTATTTTGCTTTTTTAACTTTTTCGAGTAATTCTTTTATGTTTCAATTTTGGACATTTACTATTAGAATTGCTTATCAATTAATTGCATAAATGATAAATAAAATATATCATTAACGATATTTGATTGCACAAGTTTTCTAACTCAACAATTAAAAAATATTCAGAAATTATTCAAGTGTATGGTCCGAAGAATTATCAGCTAGAAGTAATCAGGACAATCAACGAGAGTATGAAGAAAAAGCCATGGGACAGGTATGTTTGTAATAAAATAATATGCATTTTATACTTAAGCATTTCTTATTAACATATTGTACTCAATTTACAAATTTTAATGCTGTTATATTTTACAGTTGATATCTATGTTAAATAAAAAGAATGGTCTTGACACAAGAAATAGTACTTTACGTCAATACCCTGTTGGTTGGTATTATTTGATATTGATAAAAAATTAATTAAAATTTCATATAAAACATTTAATCATAATTACAGGTGGTACATATATCAAGTTAGAAAATGAGTGGAAAGAAGCTCAAGCACAATGGTCAAATGTCAAGCCTAGAAAAAATAAAGATAAACTTAAGCATTAATTGCACAAATTTATGCATTTATAGATAATAAATCGTCAATTTCATTACATTTAGTTTTTTTAGGGCATATTCATCTCAAACATTGCCAATCAGTATTTGCCAATATAACATTATCAATGCAAATTCTGCTACTATACAAAAAATAGTTAAAAAAATGTTTAATCTAAGTAACAAATAAACAGAACATGCTAACATTTTAAGTAATTTATTTCAAATAACAATAACATAATATCAACAACTAGATCTACATGGCTAATAAGAAATTGAACTATATTTGACTACATTAGTGAATATCAGTTTTTAGTTAAAGTTGACTTATTAGAAATATTTATGCATATGAAGATGTCTTTAAAATATAATATCACTTATTGTGTCAGAACTCATAAATGATCTAAATAATAATCTAAATAATGTACTAAATAAAATTAGAAGAAGTTTGGATTTTTTACATAATTTTGAAAGCAATTTATTCAACAAAAAATTGCATGTCTTTAGTGAATTATCAAATAAAACAAACATTTGCACATTTGCATTTCAAACTATAATATTAAAAATAAACTGAAATGAACAATAAGTTGCCAAATAATTTAAATGTTCTGTGTTTAGTCGATGTAGAATTAGATATCCAGATTACTTTTAGTTGGTATAACAATAAAGTTCTTTAGTTTTGAATGAATTTATCATTCTTGAGCTCTGACATCTAAAAGTCTCATAAACATATAATTGATGAAACAACAATTCAATCATATTTTCAAACTATTTTACTTTTAACTTTGGAATGTTATATGTCTTTATATAAAAGCATCTGTTTTATAACAAATAATATGGCAGGTTTAACACTAATCAGATCTTAAATTATATAAGACAAAAAAGTTGTTCAATTTCATTACTATTTAATATTTATCACAAGAAGAATATCTACCAGATCTATTGCTTGTGCGATTAAATAAGAATCACAATGGTAAATGAGACATTTCATGCATAACAATTATCCTTTCATATTTAGGTATCACATCTTGAAACAAGTCATCATTTATCAACTAGAAATCAATATTCATTATTTATTTGAGTTAAAAGATTTTACGGTATGTATAATCCATAGCAAGATCCACACTGTGATCGATGGGTTTGATTATAAGAGGTATAGATAATAATCCAACAGCTGTGGGCATTATTTGAGCCATTTTACCAAAATTACTTCTTTGCATAAATTTGGATGTGTAATGGGTTATCCTAAAAAAGGGCAATATTAGTAATAGAGCAACCATAAAATATATTAATGACATTAAATAGAGATTATTTATTAATGAAAATATAATGTAAAAAAATTAGGATGCAAATATTTTTGTTTAAATATCTATTGCTTCTATTAAATAATAACTCATTTTTATACCTGTTTATAGTATATCCTGGTACTATAATAGATGCAAACCCTTGCCATAGGAGTGTATCAACTGCTGATATAATAACATCTTTAGACTTCGATCCGGGTTTCTAGAACAAACATATATTCCATTTGTAATATTTCACAGAATTATTATTTTTATTTTTATCAAATACTTTTGATGCTTTTTTTGCCTTATCCCATGTATCAGCTAAAACATAGGCAGTGGATACTCCATAAGATGCAGTAACAACAGTACTATTAACCAAAGGCCTGAATGCTTCACCAAGTTCATTTGCATATCCTAAAATAATAAGATAAAGAAGAAATTTCAGTAATTATATTCTTCCAAAACGCACTGTAATTAAAAATTTAGTAAAATATTGGATTAAAAATTGGATAAATATACATCAGCACAAAACATATTTCATAACAACGCTCTAGCAATTGCACAGGCTGTATGATGTAAGACTAATTATTATATAAAATTTGTGATTATTATATGAAATTTATGACGACTTAATTTAGGTATATCTATATAATAATTTTACCCAAATAACGAATATAAGTATCTCTAAAAATATCACGTTCGCCTGATGGCAGGTTCTCTGGTGAAACTAATACTGGTTCTGGAGGCAATTTCTGATCAGCAATTTCATTATCTTTGGAGTTGTCCATTGTGCGTTTATTACGTAAAAAGCGTACTTCCATTATTTATAACTCAGTAAATACTCAGTCTAATATAAGCCTTCAATTATTCTAAAAATAATATTAAAACTATTATAACATAACCTACAATTTTGGCATTGTGATACTATGAATTGACATAATCTCAACGTGACGGCAGGTTGCGAAATATGCAACCATGGTGTAATTAAATACTTATCAGATTCTTTTTTTTATCTAATAACTAGATTTTAATTAATATATGTAATTTGTTAGTTTAATCTTTAAATTAACGGAAATATTAAAAAAATAGTTCATATAAATATAGAAAATAATTTTATTATGGTCATTATGGTAACGCGTTTGATTAGCGCGGGAAACAGATCATTCAGTAGAGTTTAGTGTAGTCGACGTATTATTGTGTGCAGTTTAATCAGAGTCTTTTGTAAGAGCTGTTAGTATTTAGAAATAAAGAGAAAAGTGTTGTAATTGACGGTACAGTTTCATAAATCAGGTAATATATACATACATATATAAATATAAATATATATATATATATATATATATATATATATATAAATTTGTGCCAAATAATGTTACAATATTTGAATGTTCATATGTTCATATAACCATATCTATGAGCTTTGAATTTACTCAAACTTTGAAATTAATCAAACCGTAGAACGTTTTTTAATGTCAATAAATTACCGAAGCTTTAGGTAATACGCAATTACAAGAATTATGATGTTTGGGTTAATATTATTAAATTTATTTGGTATATATTAATCGCCATATTGAATTTATGATTTTAAAAACAAATATTTTGTTTTTTTTACATTAATGTATTATAATATAATATTAACCCAAACATCATAATTCTTGTAATTGCGTATTACCTAAAGCTTCGGTAATGCATAATAATTATTATGCATATAATATTATTATGATCATTTGGTAACATGTTTGATACGCGGGTAACGGATGTTTACGCGGGAAGTTACTTCAGTAGCTCGAATCAGCGAACATGCAGTTTATGCGTTATGGGAGATTTCGATCATTCTTCTTGCTTGCGTTATTAAACGTTATTAATAAATCGATGATATATCTGATAGCCATACTGGTTTTTGCGATTTTCATATAATTTTTATTTCTATTTTTTGTTAAATATTGTATGTAATTTTGTTATGATATGGTAACACTATTGCATGAACCGCGAAAAACTATAAAATATTTTTTATCGCTGTTATGGTAACAGTTTTGTTTGAACGGATAGGAAATGGAGTTACTTCAGTATAGTTAATCAGAACCAATCAGCACGTTCTTTGGTAACAAACAACAAACAAACGTTGAATCATTGTGAACGTTATATTGCGAGTTGAATCAAAAGTGTCATTTGTATAATATAAATAAATATAAAATATAATTAAATAGTGTTGCAATTAATAGTACAGCCAGGTAATATGTGTATAAAATATATTTTAATCGAGATTTATTTGCGTATATGTGAAATCATTTTTGCTGGTCGCCATATTGACTTTATGCTTCATATGAACTTTGTTTTTTTTTTTCTTTATTATATTGTGTATAATTTATATTTGGATTTAAAATTATTAATTACCTCCGCTGTAAAAGCAAGATCTAGAACATTTTACGGAAGGTATTGGTCATAATGTACTCAGCCACTATATCAATTGGATGACATATCATTGGTATAGAAACGAGACCAATGATTGTAGGCAGAATCTTTCCTAAAGTTTGTATTTTGTACCTTTGAACACACTTGCCGGTAAACCAAACAATTCTGTGAATAGAGCAAATTAAAACGAGTTATCAATACATTGAACAGATTTAAATATATTAATAAATCACTCGATTTTGATTTGAAAAGAAATAAATTCTATTCTATAAATGTTCAACTTGCAATTGCTAAAATTGAAACTTAATTGCACAATATATCGCATATAGTCGAATTATTATGTTTAAAATTATTTATGTTATCTTTATATTATATTTTCAAATAAAATTATTTCTGTATATTTTCAAAATTGCAAGCATAATTCAATATAGATAGAAATCGCTCATCTCACTTACAATAGGTGATTTCATTAACTGCATTTTCAGGGAAATGCAAGTTTATGTCCTAATATTATTATCTTAACAAAAGCAAATTTCATTGAAATAAATTTAATAAGCTAAGTACCCAAAAATGATTTTATTCATATTCCAATGCCAAAAAGAAATAAAATATTAAATGCAAAAGAGAATTCTTATACAAGATTTATATATACTGATCTGTTTAATATATAAAATATTAAATATATTTTTATTGCAAATAATACCTGTTAATTGAAACTGCAGGAAGAATTAAAGTAGCAATCCCTTGCCAAAGCAAAGTATCTGCAGCTGTTAAAACTGGTTCTTGATTAGCCTGAAGTTAGGTAAGTTATTTGAATTTGAATTTTAATATAATAATCTTAATTACTTTGATGCCAATTTTTGTTTAATTTCTTTAAGAACTATTTTATTGAGTAGTATATATTTATAATTATTATAGTAGAACATATTATTTCAAATTAAATCATGTAGGAAATATGGAGTTTTATCTAAGATGATGATTTATATAAAATAAATCAGTACTTAATTTCAGATATTATTCTATAATAAATATATGTAAACACAAATCATAACCTCCCAAGCTCGACGTGTTTTGTCCAATGTATCAGCCACAACATAAGAAACCGATACAGCGTACCCCAATTTAACAAACAATATTGGTACTTGTGGACGAAAGGACTCTCCTAGTTCACTTGCATATCCTGAAAAATTACTTATTTGAATTAATATTTAGTTTTAATGTTTCTTTAAATTACCTAAATATCGCACAGGGGTATCTCGATATAAATCTCTCTCTACTTTATTTACTAAAACATATTTCGGTATTTCTTCTTCTTGTATTAAGTTATTTCTTGTAGTATTGCATATTTCTCTTTGAATTTGATCGATTGCAGCTTTAACTTCTTCTAAAGACTTTAATATTGCCAAATCAGCACCTCCCAATTCAAATTCTAACCGTTCTTTTGCTTCTAATAACACTTTTAGTTTTTCTTCATTTTTCATTTTCATCATGCATTTCTAGTAGTATTTATAATTTTATCAAGCATAATAACATTTCACACTTTTAAAATTTTAGATAAAATGTACGTTAAATTTTAATGTGAAAGTATGTAGCCAAATTTACTATTTTTTTGTAAAAATTTTGTGAATTGTGTTTTTTTGAAAATTGTTTGAACGAATTTTGTTCGTAAATTTTGAATAGTGTTTTATTTTTGTCAGATCAAATAAGCAAATGAAAAGCTTCTGATATTTCAATATAAGTAGGTTTAAAATTGTGGAAGTTTGTTGATTTTACTACTCGATCACTTGATGCACGCATTATTACTTAGAAATTGAAATTATATAACAGCATTTAAAAAACTAAAAAAAGGTTACTTGAGGAAAATAAAATCTGATGTAGCTCACTTTAAATGTCATTAAAAAGATTGAGCATCCAATGCAAAATTATATAAAAATTGAGAAGATAGCATCAATTATTATTGCTAGTGTAATGTATGTAGTCCAAGTGCGTCAATGAATACTTATCTTTGACACTTTCTTCTATATCAAAATCACGAAAGCGAGGACACATCAAATTATTTATAAAAATTTGATAGTAAAAAACAATGCAGTTTTTGAATCTATGTTTAACTGTTAATGTTCTTAGTTCAGTCATTTAGTAGTTTTACCTAAAGAGTTTTCCGGATGTTTTGAAAATTGGTGATCTAATAGATTTTGATGTGATCTTTACGAATTTCAACTTTGCCACCTCGAATTTTGGCCGCTGCCGCCGCCATATTGGAAAAATTGCGTCAAAAATCAGTTTTTCAACGATATCTCCTTTCCGACTCATGTTACATTAAAATAACTTTATACAAAATTAAACTAGACAAAAATCTCTATAATTTATTCAATAACGTTTTTTTCTGTAACATCAATAGTTCTAGCGTACGCGCGCCGCAAAGTTTTTGCTGCTCGCGCTACCATCGGTATTTGGCCGCTCTTTGCACTTGAACGCATTCTCTCTAATAAATATATAATTTCAATGTTGAATTAAGCTTTTCTGCTTAGGTCTGGCCTGAAATTAACATAAATTAATTATTTTTGTTTTTCATTTTTATTTTTGCTGATGATTGAACATTTCGAATCATACAATTTAATGCTTTTTTTTTATTTTTTTGGCATAATTTATGTAAATTTCGCATTATTAAACTATAAAATATTAAATGAACTCAAATTGGAACTATATATAGAATTAATCTTTGGCGATAATCGTTCCAATAACTCGATTGCAACGAATAGATTACTGCGTATTGTACATAAGATCCTATTATCTTCGAATAACAATACACAACGTCAATTATCTGCATTTCTACATCTACATATCTATAATATGTTCAGAATCATTTGAAGTATTTTTTCTAGACGTCAGTATATTTTTATCGTTCAGTACACTAGTGATACTTTTATTTTTGAAGCCATGGCTACTAATAACATGAATTGTTTTATTTGTGGAACTCCATTGCGATAGAGTGAAGTGATTGAAGTGAAGGAAAGAAGATTGGACACTTTTCGTAAATCGGATTCGAAGCTCAAAGAAAAGACAATAAAGGTAAACACATCGTAGTATCAAATATGGGAGCGATTCTGTCGATCAACAAAAACTGCTTCAATAGATATAATTTTTTATGAAACAATGATCCTGGCTGTGCCACAAAATAAATTAAAAACAAAAACATTAAAGAAACGTCTCATTGAAATGTTGAAATTAAAATTCGAAGCAGCAAACTTTATGATCCACCAAGTCACCAAAGATGCGGATATGTTAAAAATTAATGCTGCAATTAACATTTCCACAATGTTTGATTCTGTAATAGTTATTGGCAAAGATGTTGATCTTCTTATCCTCTTGACGGCTATATCAACGCGTTCAAATATATATTTACTAAAACCGGAAAGAGGAAAAATTTTGCAACAATTATATTCTACAAGTAGCCTAATAGAAAAAACAGCTGCAGATCATGCATTGTTTTTGCACGCCTTTAGTGGCTTCGATACAACTTCAGCAATTTTTGATCGAGGTAAAATAAAATATATAAATACACTATGTGAGAATCAAGACCTAAATGAAGTTATTCATATATTTGAAAATCCAAAAGCGCGTCGTTTGAAAATCCAGAGATATTGCAACAGCTGGAAAACGCGTCTTTCTTAAATTATGCGGTTGTAGTGATGAGAATATCATAAAAAATATATCTTTAAACCTCTTTAGATATGCGTACTTCACAAAATTGGCATACCAATTTAAGTTTAATATTGCATCACTACCACCAACGCAGGCATTCATTCTGAACATATCACCAAATTCAGAAGTGGTATGGGAATGCGGTAAATGCAGAACAATAGAGATCGAAAAGAAGCAAAAATGGCCTGATTCATGTGACTTCACTCCAGCCCCCAGCTCCGCACACCTTCTTGAAACTGATTTCTTGCCAATGCACAAATGGATGTCAGAAAGCCTGTGGATGCAGAAAAGCAGGATTGAAGTGCTCCATTATCTGCACAAATTGTAGTGGAACCTGTAGTAATGCACAAGTTCCATCACAAGATAGTGATGAAGAGGAAGACGCAGCCTTTTCGGAAAACTTCGCAATGACGATAATCCAATCGCGGACAATATGGAAGATAGTGCAACCCCTGACGTTTCGATCGTCGAAGATGATTAAATAATAACATATGACCCATCGAGAACATCAAACTGGAGGTAAAAAGTTAATTAAGTAAATTATAAAAGAATTTCTAGTTTAATTTAGTATAAAACTATTCTTACAATTTAAAATTTGCATTGAATTGTATGATTCAAATGTTCGATCATCAGCAAAAATAAAAATGAAAAATAAAAATAATTAATTTATGTTATTTCTAGGCCAGACCTGAGTACAGAAAAGCTTAATTCAGCATTGAAATTATATATTTATTAGAGAGAATGCGTTCAAGTGCAAAGAGCGGCCAAATACCGATGGTAGCGCGAGCAGCAAAAACTTTGCGGCGCACGTACGCTAAAACTATTGATGTTACAGAAAAAAATGTTATTGAATAAAATATAGAGAATGTTGTCTAGTTTAATTTTGTATATAGTTATTTTAATGTAACGTGAGTCAGAAAGGAGATATCGTTAAAAAACTGATTTTTGACGCAATTTTTCCAATATGGCGGCGGCAGCGGCAAAAATTCGAGGTGGCAAAGTTGAAATTCGTAAAGATCACATCAAAATCTATTAAATCACCAATTTTCAAAACATCCGGAAAACTCTTTAGGTAACAGCTTTTTTTTGCACCAAATGACTGGGCTATCTAGTCGATTAGTAGATTGTTCATGTATTTAAAATACATAGTAAAATAAATGAACTACATATGTACACTTACAAACAATACATATGATGCTATTTAAAACTAAGAGATAATTTGAAAAGTCGCTACTACAATGTATTTTACTAGCAAGTAAAGTATTTTTGAGTATTCTAATTGTATGCTCAGTTTTCTCAAAAACCGAATTGTCATTTTTAGGATTTTTGCTCCGTATCTCCGAAACAGCAGGACCTGCTGCCAAAAATTAATCAGCACGACTCCTTGTTAATAGGAATCGAATGTTTCTTAAATCATTCAAATCGAATTGATCCATGCTCTCGAAATCGTCAACAAAAAAAAAATTTCCGTGCATACCTTATTTTTCTGAAAGCATGCTTTAAAAAAGTATTGCAATACTTGCGTGGATTCAGGTTTTTTGTGCCGGATTGTCTCGAATTTTTGAAAATATTCTAATTTTCAATGTTTACTTTTTATAAAATTGTGCATATCCAACAATATATGCTATATTAACTTCCCATAGGTTAAGTAATCGCAAAAAAATCTAAAATATTTTTTATATGTCTTTACGTTTTACCGGATGTAAGTATGTATGTGCGGATACAATTTTTCCGCGACGATTTTGAGAACACGGATCAACCCATTTGAATAATTTCTGTTGATAAGGAGATGTGCTGATTAGTTTTTGGCCAAGTTAGGTCCAGCCGTTTTGAAGATACGGAGCTAAAAGTGCGAAAAAGGGTAATTCAGTTTTTGAGAGAACAGAGCGTCCGATTTTAATAAATCAAAAAACATTTTACTTTTATTGACAAAATGAAAAACTGGATAAATTTTGAGAAGGCAGGCTTAGCGATTTCGGAGACGAAATAAAAAAATGCCATTTGGCGGTCAAAAATATGCACATATGCACATAAAAAATTATCAGGTATTTTATAGAAATTTTAATAATAATTACAAATTTTGTTTACAATTTTATGGTTCCGTTCAAAGATTTATCATGTTTATCCGTATTATATTTTTTCAATCATTTTTTATTATTTTTTTAAAGAGTATTTGTTATTTATTATATAATTTAAAAAAAAAAATCGCATGTAAGTAATTAAAAGTAACAGACCCCGCTTACTACAAACATTTGTCCCGAATTCGAAATAAAAATGTTTAGTAGGTCACATTTAATATAAAAATGATAAAAAGGCTATTTGATTATAACATAAAAAGTGAAGGATTTTGATTAATTTATTCAAACTAAACTATAAACTAGTGGGGTGTATGGCATCGTGTCTTAAGGCAAATTGCTGGAACTTCCCGTACCGTAACGAAATGTTCGAGGAATACTGTTTTTCAATAGATTATTATTAATATTGTAACATGTCTAATATTTATAAGAACTATATAAACTGAATTACAACGTTGAAATTATTACTAATTGAATGTTTTTTAGATCATTCAAATCGGATGCTTCGTACTCTCAAAAATTCGAATTTTATTTTCTGCACTCTTTGCTCTTTATCTCCGTATCTGCTGGACCTGCCTTTGTCAAAAACTAATCAGCACATCTCCCTATCAATAGGAATCGAATGTTTTTTGAACCATTCAAATCGGTTGATCAGTGCGCCCGAAAACGTGAACGAAAAAATGCGGGCACACAAAACACACATCCATTTTTTCTGAGATATGCCAAAATGTTCAGAAACCTTCAAAACGTCGAGAAATGCAAAAATTTTCAATTTCGATTTTTGGACGATTACAATAACTTACCCTACGGGAAGTTAATAATTTATTGTGTTACTTTTAGATGATTATCATCTATAAAGCTTGAATACTCATGATTTAATCTTTTATCTTGTAGCAATTTAATGGATTTGGAGAATCTTTTCAATAATTTTACAAATTCTTATTAAGTCAACAATTCTCAAGAGATAAAATAATATTATATTGCGCAAGATTTTATATTTTTAAATTAAATTCATTAATTACGACTTTAGAACCATTCGTACAAATATGCAAAGAATGTATGTCGACAATTTACAAGCATATTTAGCACGATGACCTTACGGTTGAGAAGCGCGCTATTATTTATTTCGTATTATAATAGCTTTTGATTAATTGCTCAGATTTTGATTTTAGTTTTTCCAAATTTACTGAATGAACAAGATCGACTATGCATGATAGTTGTCAATCTATTGGCATAGTTTTTAACATACGTTAGTTTTATTTTGATTCATTTCTGTACACGATTTCTACCGCACTTGTCTATGTTACATTTACTCGTAAACAACTGGTAAGAGCGGATCTGTCTTCATTAATAAATATTTAGATGCGTTCAAATTTGCTCATAGCTAAAATATCTAAGCATCTATAGAATAAATCATTTTTTCGGTTATCTTTAAAGATGTTGTTGCTTTTATCAAGAAGACTATAATTTTGTTACAGTTACCGAAAGTGACCTCGCTTTTGATAACTGCTTCAATGCATCTAACGAGGTCGTTGTGTGACGGAGCTATGATACATATGTGAAACAGTGTCAAAATAATATTTCGGCAATTAAATTATTGTTTTATAAAATTGTGTTTATATACGAGAACGATGTGATTACGTTCATTTTTTTAGTTTTATTAATACGCCTTTCAATATTTTTATTTATTATTGCCGAATTGCATTTAGATAAAATGGGTGAATTAGAAGAGGTTATCGCAGATTTGCGAGCTGTTCTAATTTCCAGAAAGGAGCCTGCCACCGTTCACCTACTAAACAGTTAGTAAATTTTATTTAATGTAGTAAAAAGTTATTTTTTATAATACTTTGATATGAAATTTTTATTACAGGAGATTACAAAGAGTTGCATGGTACGGATGTGCCCTATAGAAAGTTTAACTTTACGAACTTAGAACAGTTTTTAAGGAGTGATCCTACCTTTTTATTTAATACAAAGGGAAAGGATGTGTACGTGTCTGTTGTGCCTAAAAAAGAATCACGGCATATAAGTGAAATGATAGCTAAACAAAAAAGCAATAAGAAGAAGTCACATGCTGTTCGACAGGTTAAAAATTGTTTTCTAGTTTATTTTTCTCAAATATTATAAAATATTAATGAAATTGTTTTATACTTTTGCAGCCCAGGGCTCTTAATACAAATCCAATGATAAACGTACAAGCAAAATCACCAGGTAGAAATTATTCCGCCAATATGAGGATGAACAGAACTTCCAGATCTGCTCAATTATTTTATAAAAAGGTTCAGTTCCCAAATCAGTTTTTTTTATATGAACTATTGGCTTAAAATTGAAAACTAACATTTGCTGCAATTTTAAATTACATACTAAATTATAACATTCTTCAATGATATATTTTTAAAAATTAGTGAACTGTGCATGTAGTTCAATAATATATTATGTAATTATTTCATTTATTCAATTTCAAATAAAAAAATTTTAGAGCCCTGCGTCAGCACGTTTTAAGCCAAGACAATCAAGTTATAATTCACCGGAACAAAATATAATTCAACACGGTTTGCAGAATCAGCCTCAACCCTCAATGCAATCGATAATTTCACAATCACAACATCAAGCTCTACCAAAATCGAACCCACCGCGACATACAATGAAAATAATACAATCTCATCTGCAACCGCAAGTAAAACAATCAATGCCCAGTCAAATGATGAAGGAAAATACTGCATCAAATACACCAAATATACAAGTTGCATCAAAGAATTATCAATCAAATAAACAGGCTACACAGAGAAACCTTCCTTCTTCTAAAACCAATTTACCTCCAACTAAATCTGAAGTATTAGATAAGTTGCTTGAATGCAAACAAATACGAATGCCAAAAGCTGCTCCGAATCAGAAAGAAAATACAGTAGCTACAGCACAAAATAAAACATCGGATAACAAACATTCTGATAATCCCTTGCAAGAGAATAAACGCAGTATTTTGAATTTGGAACCTGTTCCTAAAATAACAAGAAATGTTAGCCTTTCAAGCGCGAATGGCAATGAAAACATACAGGTGACAATGTGCACTAACGGTAATATGTTGCCTACTTTCAGTGCGCAGGATAGACTCAGCAGGATAAGGCAGATGCAAAATCAGAATAAAGTTCAATCCACAACTGCATCCACTTCAGACAACAATTTGGTTGAGAAATATCCACCCTTACCTATGGGAAAAGTTTCACAACAATCAAGGTTATTAAAATATAAAAATCCGGAAGCAGTTACTAAAATAGACGTTTGTGAAAACAAACAGTCATCACAACCTGATGAAGTAGTTAATTCAGACGATTCAGACTTTGATAAAAATTTAAATTATGAGGAACTTTTGATGGATTACTGTAATGAAAAAAATATAGCTCTACCGAATATTAAAATTTTGCAACACAAAATTCATAAGGATTATAGATCAGACCGCCCTAGTGAAATTTATGGATGTAATGTCAAAGTAAGTGAACATACAAATCCTAAATTAAATAATATATACGAATTTTGCAAATACTTACGTGATTAATATCTTTCTAATAATTAGATTTATATATGCTATTTTTTCTAAACTTATTTTTTGGGTAATTATAAAACAGAAATCACTATGAAATTCTGTAACTTTTCATGCGCTAAATGTACATAAAATATGTTGACTTTGAAATATACATTATTTGAACAGATTGGAGATCAATACTGTTTTGGAAGTTATTCTTATTCATTTAACAACCCTGAGGATGCTTCTCGGGATGCATGCAGAAAAGCTCTTCATGCTTTAACGAAAATATATGGATCATTAGAAGAACGAGATTTACCAGTGACTGAAGGCACATTAATACCAAATAGGTTTTTAAAACTGATTGCAGGTCATAGTAATGGCAAATTTGTTCATCAATTACCTGGAGAATATCGGTAAATAATAGAATATACAGTTGTTTCTGGCAATTATATTATTTGTACTAATTATTTAAAGCAGTTGGTTAACAAATCTGCTTTTAATGATTTATATCAAATAATTGCTCTGAAATGCTTATTGATTTGAAAACACAATGTGAAATTCTACTTTAAGGGGGTATTCTACTGTAGAGGCATGAATTTCGCCCGGTTTTTGAAGCGCTGTATAAAGGAAACAAATGATATTTTTACTATCGATTTTTTTTATCATTTGTTTACTGATATTTTATTATTACATAAAAAATTATTAAAAAAAAAAAATTAAAATTCACAAAGTTATGAGCAGTCAAAGTGGGGGCTCAAAAAAAAAGAGGGTGCCTGGCGTGCATCATTCCAACTCTCCTGGTGATCCGAAATATAAAAAATAGATGGATTCTTATTTATTGTAGATGCCGCTATCGTATGACCCTTGGATAAGTTAAAAAAAAAATTGTTTAAATGGCGGCAGTTTGAAAACAAATTTTTTTTTTTTCATGTTTTTTTAACAATTCCGAATTTTTTAAAAATACTAAATGAAAAGTTATAGTTTTGGTCCATGCGATAAAGCGATGTGTAGAGAATATCCTCTCCAAATTTGAAGTATGTAAATCGTATCATTAGAACTCGAGATATCCTTACCGCCAGCTCGAAAAAAGTAGTTCCGAGATAAACGTGTTCAAAGTTTTGAGACTCGGTCGGACCCGAACCGAGGCCACGTCACTAAAACGGTTATAACTCAGGAAATAATAGTAATTTTGAAAAATCCTTTTAATGACATATTTTTGAATAACTAAACTTTGAAAATATGAAAAAAAAAATAATATTTCGATTTTTTCAAAATTTTACAGTAGAATACCCCCTTAAGTTATTTTCAATTTTTAATGATTTGTTAAAGTTTACATTTACTTATATTCTGTATTAACCATTTTAATTTTGTAGTGAAGAGTACCGTGAAAATTTGCCCGAAGACTGGTTAGATTTTGTAAAAATGTCACATATATTTCAAATTGAGGATTCAGTAGCTGGAAGTCAAATAATAAGCCTCAGAACACAAGATGAATTGACTGTAAGTTTTATCAGAATATATTTTTACTTAATTGCTTCTTACACAGTATAAATTTGAAATGAAAGAAATATATTCAATAACTGACATTCCATACAGATAAGGTATAATATAAAAATATATTGGTTTTTAATCCCATATTTGAGCAACGTGATGAATAAAAATTTTCTACAGAAAATTTTATATATTTATTTACATTCCATAAAAATAGTTAGCTCATGAAATATTAATATTTCTTTAATAATTAATAAGAGCTCTTGAGTGAATAGTAATAAAAATATTCTTTATATACATGAGTATTGATGGCAAAATCTTTTTTACAAGAAATGAGAATATGATTACCAAAGTCCATATAACATAATAATATTAAATAATAAATGGTTGTCTATGGTGTGAGAGCACCATAAATCAGTGATTTCTTTTCCCTCCCTTGATTATTACTCCCATTACCATTTTCTTACTTCTATTCACTTTTTTATACACTTTTATGCGGTCCTGTCAGTGCTTATATTTTACCTTTTACGACGTCGTGTAGGAGGCACTCTTCTTGCAGCATGAGTCCAATTCAGATTCCTTTTCTTTTATGGATCGTGCTCAGTAGAGTTCTTTCTTTTCTCACTCTCCTCAGTACTTTTTCATTTGTTATTTTATCTCTAACTTTATGTTGTCCATTTTTCTCCAGTCTTGTTTGCATGTTTCTGATTGTGTGATTACTAAGAAAAATATACTTTACATATCTTTTGATGGCAAAATGATTTTTTAAAAACAATGAGATTAATATGCTTATTTATCTAACATAATATTGAGATTAAATTTAGCTTTAATTATAGGAATGTAAGAAAGATGATGGCGATTTTGCTGATCTTCCACCTATTGTTTTGCCTGAAAGAGATTCTTATTGGAATGTATACATTACTACGCTGTGCTCAACAATTGAAGTATGGTGTCGAATTATAGGACCACAGTATGCGGTATAAAAAATATTGTTTATAAAATTTATTTTAAATGTTTTAATAGTCAAAATTAGATTACAAAAATATATTTCTGCAATACTTGATAGAATGTAAAATTCAATAAACATACATTTTCAGACTTTATTTGACGAATTGAGCTCATACATGGAAAAAGAACTAGCAACCAAAAAAACACAAGCAGAAGCAGTATCTGTAAGTGGTACAGCTTATTGAAATAATAGATATAAAATATCAAAATGCCAAAGTTTAAAAAAATTAGTCTATATTTATAACTACAACTGAAGTCATTAATGACTTAAATTATGTTTTTCAATATTGTTGTAATAATTAGGTTGGAGGATATTATGCTGTATGCACTTCAGAATCTTGGTATAGAATTCAAGTACTTGAAATTCAAGATAATAAAGCCTTATGCTTTTACATTGATACTGGGGAAGAAGACTGGCACCTGAAAAGTGATATATTCACTTTAGACCCAAAATACAGATATGTTCCTGCACAGGTTAGAATATTAGTGGTTAAGAAATGCTGAATATATATATAAAATAAATATAATATGCTATAATTTTTGTTGATTTATTTTCATAGGCAGTTTTATTACAACTAGCTGACTTGGAAGATTATGCCGAAAATAAAAATGTCTTGAAATATCTTAATGAGTACATTCTATACAAAAGTTTGGTTGCTGAAGTTCTGGCAGATGAAAATGCAGAAGGTATTAATTACATGATGTAACAAAAAATCCAGAACTTAATATAAATTTTATTGTTTAGATCAAATACTTCTGTTGTATTATTTGATACATCTACAGAAGAAGATGTGAATCTAAATGATTTAATAAGAAAAAAAATGAAAGAGGAAGAAAAGGCTCCTAGACTAAATGAGGTAAAAAAAATTATTTTGATCTGAATTAAAAATAAGCTTTTATATATATATATATATATATATATATATATATATATGTAATGTATTTTTTATGATGTATTTTTTTATAGAAAGGAAGAATTAATGATAAAATCCATGTGTCGCACATTTGCAACAACGGTGATATTTACATTCAGATCAGAAATGACACATTTAAATATTTACACTCTCAAATCCAATTCATTACTGATATTGGGTTTTCCAACGCTGACATATTGGATTCTGCAAAACTGTTACAAGAAACTCCTCTAAATAATTTATATTTAGCAGTAAAACCGGAGGAAAATAAATGTTACAGAGTTAAAGCGACTGGACCCATCAAGAGAGGAGAGGTGCCTGTATATTTTGTGGATTACGGATATACAGAGTGTATTCCTGTTTCTAAAATGATTGCCTTGGAAAAAGTCTCTTCAGTTATTAATGAATTCCCTCATCAGGTAAGATTTTCATATCAATATTATGTGGAGATTTTTTTTTTAAACGTCTTTAAATGTTGTTGTCTACTAATAATTTCTAAGTTTTGATGTAAATATTATATATATATATATATATATATATATATATATATATATATATAAACAAAGTCTAATAATCGGGCGTAACATCAATAACAAAATAAACGCAGTGACCTCAATTCATACTTTTTATTGATGTTTCACTCTGTTAATACATATCAAAGTTAACTAATGATATATATATATATATATATATATATATATATATATTATGTGAAATATTTTTGTTCTTCAAAATTTACCCAACTAATTCTATCATATATTACAATATTTAATGTCCATATGCTAATTATTTTAACAATATTATTACATTTTTATATTTATAGGCAATAAAAGTACAGTTGTATGGATTGGAAAATTTTACACCCTCTTTGGCATCTCGTCTCAGGGGTTGCCTGCCTATTAATGGTTCAGTTCTACTTAAAGTAATAGAATATAAAAATGTGCCAATTGTTGAAATTTTTATGAGGACACAAGATCAACTTCTCATAAGTGTTAATAATGCATTGCAGAATGAATTAGAAATTGAAAAGTATGTAATTTTTTTGCTGAATTATTTTATATTTATTTTTGGTTTAGACTTACAAAAAAAAAATGTTATAGTTTTTTTTTTTGATATTCTCAAAGTTTAACTATTCGCTCAACATATTAAGAATATGTGTGGAACAGGATATTCAAAATGTAAACAATTTTTGAATATAGCTGGTTGACCACAATAATCACCTTCTGATTCCTTCCTCTGCGGAATTTTAAAAGCAATTTTAAAAAAATATTTTTTGATACTATACCTACAATTTCTAAACTTCTACTGGGTCAATTTACTTGAAATTTTTACGTTTTTTAAAAAAATTTTTAGTTCTTTTTTATAGACTTCATATTTCAAAATTAACTATTTTTTAAAAAAATTGAGAATATCAAAATTTGTAAAAAAAAGCATTTTTTTAACTTGTCTGTGGTTCATAAGCTTGTGAAATTATTCTAAATTGATGATTTATAAAAATATATTTTTCTTCAGAATTTACAAATTAATCTGTCAAATCTTTAATTCTAGGAATGCTGTAGAAGTAGAACAGCGTGACCATATAAAGAAAAGAATGGAAGGATTGTCCATAAAATATAACTCTCCAGCCCGTAAACCCTTGCCACAATCTCCACAGCGAAAAACTTTAAACATAAAAGCTTTACCAGAGCCAACTATTATTGCTGGATCTCATTTTCCTGTGATTGTTACTATGGCTGCTAGCCCATCAAACTTTGTGGTATATATAAAATACATTATATTATCTTATATACATTAAAATACTTCTGTTAATTTAGCAACTACTTTTCTTACTATTGATATTGTTTATATATGTATTAATTTTCAATTGCATCAGAAATAATTTGATGGAGAAAAATTTTGATTTGTTAAATTGTGCAGAAAATATTAAAGTATCCTTACAAATATTTTTATTTACAACATTTGTATTCCTGTTTGATTTCCAGTAGTTTTCAAACATCTTCCATCATATTTTTTCTTGTAATCAATTAATAATCAACAAAATCTTTTCGCTTTAATTTATAATTTTTATTTATAGGTACAGCCATTCACTGATGATGGCTATCGTGATTTTAAAAGGCTTATGAAAGATTTGCAGGTCTTGTGTAATAGCAGCCCTTTTTCAAACCCATCATATGAAGAAATTGAGAAAGGAAATTTATATGCTGGAAGGCACACTGATGGAGTTTGGTATAGGTATAAAGATTTATTATTTACTTACCAATTAGCTGGATAAGTTTCGATTCAATATTTATTTTATAGAGTACAAGTCACTAATGTTATGAGAAATAATTCAGTAACTGTACATTTCTGTGATTATGGGGATTATAATGTGATGAGTTACAAAAACTTGCAAAGGTTAACACCGCCATTTTTAAAAATGCCATACAATGCCTTGAGAGCCAGATTAGGAGGTAAGATAAAGATAATATTATAACCTTTTGGTATGATTGGTATACACATTTTTTACTGCGCCATAACTTAAGTATTTAGTTGTGATATAAAATTCATTGCAAAGTTCATGCTATTTTTAATAAAATATAAAACTTACGTTTTTGGTGATGTTAGTAAATACAGAAGACAAGAGCACATGGTAAAGCAGGCAAATTTAATTTTGTTTTACACCTTTTGATTATCTAGCTTTATTTTAAATGCTATCTAAACTACAATTTAATATTTAAGTTGAATTTAATATTTTATTCGGTAATGTTTTTTTTTTTTTTTTTTTATTATTGTTCATACCTTTCTACATTAATATAACATACTAAGATCATTCTAAAAATCATTGTTATTTATTGTAATGGTTTTAGGAGAAACTCCAATAATAGCAGACTGGAGTGTGGAAGAATGCCTACGTTTTCAGGAACGGGTGTGTGATAAAGTTTTTGTTGCCAAAATTAACAGCATTGATGCTGATGAACTGAATGCCTCCGACAAAATAATAAGTCTGACATTAATTGATACAACTTCAGAGAACGATGTTTATATAACACCAGAATATGTTCGGACATATATAAAGTAATTTAGTTTTTCTACTTTTTTAAATTTAAATTTAATTATTTCTGGAATGCTCTTGTGATCAATTGTTAAGCGTGATTAAGAAATATATTTTTGTTATGAACTGATTTATGAAAATATATTGTGATTCCTAAGCAACCAATAAGTATTAAAACTGATTATATTGCATATGTAAATATATTTATATTTGTGATGGTAATATTATATTTAATATGTAGTCATAAACTAGCTCCTTATTATATATAAGTATTTTCTATATATATATATAATAAATTTAATGAAAAATTTTATAACATTTTATTATTAACTATAATAACCAAACAGCTATCTCTGAAAATAATTTAAATTTTCTTGAATTAACTAAGTTACTTTTTGAAAATATTGAAATAAAACAAGATATTTTTTTTTTTAAATTCTAAAGCCAAAGATTAACTTCAACAATGTCAATGTTAATTGCAGCATTAACTCTTTTTTAAGCTGTCCAAAAAACAACAAGCAAAATATTAGGAATAAGAATGAATCCTAAAATAATCTAATTAATCTAATAAAATACAAAATAATCTGACCATTGACAGCTACTAGGTGATGATTTTATCTATTGATGAAAGGTTAATTTATAATGAACTTTCTTTTTAATCAGTCCCTGGTAATGTTCTGACAAGTGTGTTAGGGCGATCATTAAGGTGGCGTTAGTACTTGTCTGAATAAGTTTGTATTTAATCGTTCACTGTGCCAATGCCGGAGTCTTTATAAATCAACCAATTTATTGAATTGGAACATATTTAAATTTCTTTTAATAATTCATTAACTTGGAAGCTTATTCCCATAGTTTATGCCATTTGTCAGAATTGAATTAATAATGTTTTTGTAGCATTAACTATAAACTTATTTAAATTTTGATTTATAATTATAGTTTATTGCTAGATGTCTCTTGGTAATATAAACAATTGTATAGTTATGCACAAATTTTTTTTTTGCTTCTTATATAGTGCTAGAAAATAAGTAATTTAAGTTTTCTAATGTATAATAAAACTCAATTTTTATATACAGGATTATAGAAACAAACTTCAATCAGCTATTGTTTTGTTAGATGATTCTTATTTTTTCGGTACCTTATAATTATAAGCATGCAGAAGTTGTTTTCAAATATAATTTCAAACCATAATTAGTTAAAATTCTAACATTCATCGAATTGAGGATGCCATGTCATATATGCAAGATGCAATATTATTTCTAGTCAGTCTTTGGAACATTGAGCAGCTTTCTTTACTTCACGAAATAAAAAAAGTAAAATATGCCAGTGTATCTGGCAGAATCAGACTTTAAACATATTTTCAGGAGGTTCATCGTTTCATATACATTTATTTTATTGTTTTCCCTATAATGCTAAACATTAGTTTAGTCAGTGAATAAATAATTAGAAAATATAAATTAGATCAGTATATTGTTCTATAACATAGCAGGATAAAGGTAGCACAAACTATACTTTTTTATTACAATTAAATTTAAATAAAGACTACATAAATAATTAGGACATTGAAACCTTGAAAACAATTTTATTTTTGACATTTCGAATGTCAAATTAAATATCTTCATCACTTCAGAGTAATGTACAAAATGTGATAATTTTGTCAAGGCAGGCAATACTAAATTTTCGAATACTAATGTCAATTTGACATTTAAATTTAAAGATTTTTATCGTTTAATTGTTAAAACTTATAATATATGTAATGTATGTAATAATTGAATTTAATTCTTACAGTTTATAAAAGTGGACTTGTTTTAAAATAGAAATTTACAATAAATAGTTTAATAAATTATTTTCAAATAATCAAAATAGAATGTCTTTAATACCTCAGTAAAAAAGGCGTATATGTAAAGAACATATATAATAATTTTTACTTATTAAAAAGTAAAAATTAAAATATTACGATGTCTTCATATTTATCCGGAGGAAGACTTAATATAGCCTATTTACAAGAAACATATAGAAACGAGTTGTTATCTTTGCTTGATGCATGTGATGGCAAAAAAGTAATTTATTGAATTTTCTTTTATTAGAGAAATGTTTTCCTAATTTACATGTTGAATGTTTTCTTTTATAATTATAACTATTATTGTATTAGGTGATTATTTGGGATGAATCATTGGCTGGTCCAGTGGGTTTAGTGGCTAAATATTCAATGCTACGTGATGTAGAAAAAATGTATCATTTAAGAAAGGATGTATTTCCCAATATTTCTGATAGACAAGTACGGCATGTTATTTTTATTACAAGACCAAATGAGGAGATGATGGATATAATAGCAATGAACATATTAAAGAACGATAGAGAGAATTTGAATGGTCAGTTGAAATGGCATTTCTTTACTGGCAGCTTACTATTCATATTGTTTTTCACATATACGTTAATTTCAGGTTCATTATTAAGAGAATTTCATTTATTTTTTGTTCCTAGAAAAAGTATTTTATGTATAGAGCGTCTTAAAAATAAAGGAGTTTATGGAAGTCTCACAAATGTTTTTGAATTTAAATGCCATTTATTTCCTTTGGATAATGATTTAGTTTCAATGGAACTGCCATGTTCATTTAGGTAAATGTTGATTCTTTCTTTATTTTTTTGGAAAAATGTCAATTTTTAAATAATCTACTTTTTTTTAACAAATAGGGAATTATATCTTGAGAATGATCCAACTTGTATCCACCAGTCTGCACTAGCTCTTATGTCTCTCCAGAGAATGTTTGGACAATTTAATAAAATATGTGGGAAAGGTCAATATGCTAATCAGGCATGTTATTCAAAACTACAAGTTCAATTCAACTACAACTACAAAATTAACAAAAAAAATATTAATACATTTCTAGTTAATGACGCACTTGAAAAGAATGACAAAATTGGAAGAATTTTCTCAAACAAAGTCCTCTATTGATCAATTACTAATTATTGAAAGATCAACCGATCTCATAAGTCCTCTAATTACTCAACTTACATATGAAGGGCTTATAGGTAAATATTTTACTTATTTTGTTACATTGAAAAATGAATTATCAATTTAAAATATTGATTTTCAGATGAGTTTTATGGGATTTCAAATAACACAGCTTCTTTTCCTGCTCAGAAATTTCATTCTGATCAAAATGATAACTCCGCACAAAATTTAAATGTAGACACAAAGTTAATTGTGTTAAACTCGGCTGATGAACTATTCTCTGAATTAAGAGACAAAAATTTCAATGCTGTGAGTATTATATATATATATATATATATTAGGGTGGTCCTTAAAAAGGTCATTTTCGAATTTCCTTGCTCCCAGGGGCTCAAATGGTTCCAAATAGATAAAAAACAATTCTCTGAAAGTTTTAGCTCTTAATATTAACGTTTAGATAGAGCGCGATTCAATCAAAGTTTGTATGGAAAGAGCATGGTAAAAAATTTGAAAATTTGAAAAAAATGTTTTAGGTATAACATAGCGACAAATGAATGAGTTTCATTCATTCATTTGTTCGCTAAATTACATCTAAAAAACATTTTTAAATATATATATATATATATATATATATAATATATATATATAATATTGCATATGATGAATTAAACAATAATTTTAACTTAGGTAGGGTCAGCTTTATCAAAACAAGCTAGATCCATTGCATCCCAATTCGAAGAAAGGCATAAAGATAAATCTGTTCAAGAAATTAAACAATTTGTTGCAAAACTACCTGACATGCTTGCAAGTAAACAAGCTTTGGCTACACATACTGCAATTGCAGAATATATAAAAGAAGTAAGTATTTATAATGTTCTTGTTTATTTAGTTTTTGCTGTATAAATATTTTGTTGTATTCATAGGAAACAGATTCATTCAATTTTATGGATACTTTACAATGTGAGCAGGAATTTTTAAGCTGCATCGATACTGAAAAACCGAATCCATATGTGGAAGATCTTATAGCACAGTCAAAAAAGTTAATTAAAGTTCTTCGTTTGCTATGTTTGCAGTCTTTAACTGGTTCAGGATTAAAACAGAAAGTTCTAGAATATTATAAACGAGAACTAGTACATGTTTATGGTATAAATACATTTCTCACTCTAAACAATTGGAAAAATGTGGGTTGTTGAGAATGCAAACGGGATCAAGGCAGTATGCAGTTCTCAGAAAAGTAATATATTATATACTTAATTCTTATTTTAGAGTGCTAAACTGAACGTTTTATTAATGAAACTTTCAGACATTACGACTAACAATGCAGGATACATCAGAACTCACACCTACTGATATTAGTTATGTCCATAGTATCTATGCACCTCTTTCAATAAGATTAGTAGAGCATATAGTTCGAAATAAAAATTGGCTAAGTAAAAAAAGTTTAACCAATATAGGTTTTATCTTATGAATTTATAATAAGACATAATTTTTATAACAGGTTTACAAGATACAATAGGCGTTCTTCCTGGTCCTCTATTTGAGGAGCAAATTTCTTCAGTGCCATCTCAAGTTCGCAGAGAATCTATTCAATCAGAAAATTCACAAAGTGATTCTTCAAGAGTAATATTAGTATTCTTCTTGGGAGGCTGCACATATGCAGAAATATCAGCTTTGAGATTTTTATCACAACAGGAAGAAAACAATGTAGAGTTTGTGATAGCAACAACAAAAATAATTAATGGCAATAATTTAATAGAATCATTAATGCAACCTTTACCTGAATGATCTATGTTTTTTGAAAGTTCTTGGTATTGATAATGCTTGGAGTATAAGAGAATCAAGAAAATTATCATTATTATAATTGGAAATTTATATTATTTAATAAGCAACTGTTAAAAATAGCTTCAATACTTATGGCTTAGGTAGCTAGTGGCTATTTAATCATTTAACATCATATATAAAGATTTAATGCCTGCAAGTAGAAAAGTGGCAAGTTTATGTGTTACTGATAAGATTAAATAATATAAATAATTAAAAATATAATATAAAACATATTTAATTCTTGTTGATATTTTGT